AACATTATTGATATTTTTCCAAACCAAACTATGAAAATAAATGGTGATAGTATTTTACATAAGTCCAACTACATTTACTTATGTTTATAAAAACAATTGATTTAACTTACGGTTCTATAATTTAAATAATGTTAACAACAATCTTCATTAATATTACCTTTCATTATTGTACAGTTGGTAGCTAAACTACTATTCTCTAGAGGTGTTTTTACATATTTTTAAATTTAGGTGATCTTACTTGAAAGTGCCTTGTGGTTGATTTTACTAATTGTTAGTGTCTTTGGGAAAGGAATAAAATAGAAAATTATTGTTTATTATCTGAATAAATGATTTAAATTGATAATCAATTCTTAAATATTTTGAAAATCCTCTTTTGGGATTCTTGACCGATTTGATGCGCTGGGGTATTCTTGCTAAGCATTTTATGATATTTTCTCATAGTGTGGAAGAGTTTTGCATGCCTTGGTGATTTTTGATGAGTTTCTTGATTGTAATAAATGTAACTTTGGATTTTTTTTATTCTTTCCGCGCATTCTCTGTCGGATTCAAAACGGAAGAGTTTGAAATGGGCTGCGTGTTATCTTGCAAGATCTGGATAGACGTCTTGACTGAGAAGCAAACCTACAAAATAGTATTTTTGGGCTTTCGTTCTTGTTCACGGTGTTTATTTCTTTTTAACGCATCACTAAGCCAAGGATTTTGCTAAACTACCTATTTTATTCCTTCAGCTGAAAACGCAACATTTAATGTTACTTACCCACTTGATGTATTAGGAGAATTGTAAGCGAATTCTATCGTGTTTATAAATGCTTATTTATCTGTTTAGTAGAGAAACAGAAGTGAAAAATAGTAAAAATTATTACCATTCTTATCTAACATAAGACGTTTGTTCTCTTTAATTAAAAATTGAATTATATGAAGCCTACGTTCTTTGGGGGTAATATTTTTTAATCACATTCACCCTCTTGTGTTTTTCTCGGCCATTCAAAATTATTCATGCATAATATGATAGCAATTGCTGAAGTAGTTTTAACGTTTTCGTGAAATATGTAATACACACACACACACACACACACACACACACACACTTTCAGAGGGGAAGCTCTCCCCAACTGTATCATTATTTTGTAATTGTACCCAATTTAATAAAACGTAATTGAAGCATTTCAATGTCGTCACACCGCAAACTACAATTTCCACTATAAATACATATTTTTAAAAGTGTTATTTCATAAATATTTTGGAAAGGCAAACATTTGCCCGCCCCCCTCCCCTGCTTATACTTTTTGGATCTGCCTGTGAATCGTTTTGGTCGCTGCCGAAAGTCGCGCAGCACTAGAACTAATTGATACTCACACCATAATTGCGCTGTCTGGTTGTCTCGCCCTCCTGTCCGCTTCCGGCCCCGCCCGGCCCTCCCCTGCTGCCTCGTGGCGCCCGGAAGGGGAACGGAGACCGCAGCTGCAAGCGGTTTTCCACTGGCGCGCAGGGCAGCCGCGGCGATTACAGGTCGCTCGTCGGCCTGCGGGCCGGAGTGTCGCTCTGTCGCGCCGGCGCAACTGCTCCACCCCTCCCCCACCCCACCCCACCCCGCCGACCTTCGGCGTGCAGTAATTTTAGTGGCGAGTGCCGCCGACAACCTCGCTAGTCCTGCTCCCCAGAGAAATCCAGAATCATTCCAATCATGCAGAACCCTGTAGCTTCCTCATGCTGATGTGTCTGACTTAATTTTGACTCGAATTTACAATTGTCACAAAAGGAAAAACTCTGGATTCATAAGAACGTTTTATTGAAAATAAACTACCTTAACAAATTAAAGAATACGCACAAAATTGTAATAAAGAGCCAATTTTAACAAAAATGTGTTGTGATAGTGAATCTTGGACGATTTAACACCTGTTTGGAAAAAATAGTTTGTTGTGTAATACTTTTGTTTCTATTAACACTAAATTATTTACGAAATATTACAAAATAATGTTCAAATTCGTCATTTTCTTTCATTATCTTGAATCTACGTGCTAAATTTTATATACTTCATTACTTACTTTCGTAACTTAGAAAGGTAACTTATACTCTCCAGAAAACTACATACGTAACATAAAGTATCGTAATCTTAAGGAAAAAACTGCGTTTATTGATAGGAAAACTCATAATGTTAGACCTCCCCTTCAGCCTAACAACGAAAAAGTGGACAAAATGTGTTCCAATATGCAGTAAATTGTTTCCTCTAACACGTCACATGTGTAGTAGATACAAGAGTAGTCAGAAAGCATGTTTTATGTGTCCTTGATACCGAAAAATGGTATGTCCATTCGCCCGTCCATACAACACCACAGCTAAACCTTACGGAGGATCATCAAAATTGACATTCCCTCATCGATGTTGCGTCCCCTTGAGTTTGAAACTAATATTTTGATTTAGGGAAGCACTTTACAGGAAGCCTTAGCATTTTTAAAAAATTCTCAAAATGGTTCTTTTTTTTAATATTTTTTTCCGGTAGGATTAAAACCGATATAATAATGGCACATGTCTTATTTTCGTTGAATTCTCTACGTTTTCTAAAATTGCTAGAGTTCAAAAATGTGTCTTCCTACAATGCCGAAACATATCTGATACAGATTTTATTCTTCAAATAAAATGTATTATCCATAATTACTTCTTTATTTAATGCCATGTGCATTTTTTTTAATATTAGTAGATTTCCCGCTGTTTTGAGTGAAATATGGGCAATAAATGAAACATGATATTCTCAAGAAAAGACTCCAAATTTCTCTTTGACCTTTTGTTTTGTGCTGTATGCACTATATAACATTGCAAAACGCCAATTTGATGTATAATTTTGTTGTAATTTTTTAAATTCCACAAATGTATTCCACAGGATCAGGCTCTCTCTTCTATAATATTCTTAGTCATATCTTAGTTCTACCATGGGGTGATCAAAAAATGAGTAAATAAGGAAAAAATTACTTTCAGGCGCCGATAGGTAGCTCTTCGGTATTGCATTATTGAATTAATGATTAAATTAAACATTATTAAAAGTTCTAATTACATTCATAGAACGATCATAGAATTTAGTATTAATAGTATCCTTTATTTAGCCTACTTATTTCATGTACTAAAGACAAATCATTCTTGTGTGTTGAAATTAAGTTTCATAATTCTCTTCTGAAAATTGATCTTTACGAAGAAGTGAGTTTTAAAACGCCGTCCCCGGCTGAGTGCAGCTCAGAGACAGCATTGCCACCAGCATTGACAGGTCGTCCGTAGGAAGAAGGTTCGAGTCCCGATAAGGACGTACTTTCGCCTCCAATTGCATGCTAGCTAGATGGATTCAGCTGCTGCCTGGAGGAGAATCCTAGGGGTCGGCTTCTCTGATAGGTAGTTTTCCGTGATTTCTCCAATCAGTACCAGTCGAATGCCGGAGCAGTACCTCAACAAACGGGGCAACGGACCGCGTACGATCTTTCCTTTCTTATTCCTAGACCTGTCCTCTCCCCCTACACACTTTTACATTTACATGCCTTCACTAGTATGCATGTCGGGAGCGTAAAGCTCTTCCTGATTGGGACTGCGCCTCGCTGGATCGAGATGCCCAGCAAGTCGTCTTGTATGATGGCCCCGGATCTCATCTTCCAGCGGGGTGCGACACCGTCACTTCCCGCGATAAAGCATTCACGACTCCAATGACAAATGTCCTTAGCAGTCGACATGCCCGAAAACATCAATTAAATCAAAACGCCGTTTTAAATTTTCAAATGTGAAACTGCACCTTTTGCCTCTTAATATTGCTTTGTATCAGAAAGAATCTCAACATTAGAAGGAAAAGGTATCTCCTTGAACTACACAATATCTTATAGTTGAATCATGATCTACTTATAAGCCATTTAAAAATGCATTAACTAAATAATAATAAAAATAACTTAAAAATAACAATTTTAGAAAGAAAAACGAAATATGCTGTATACTGTAAATAAAATGTTGAAATGTGCAACGATAAGCGAGTTTTCCTCAAATATGTGAAAACATGTCCTGGGTCTGGACATATGAACAAATATGGATGTTCAAATGTACTACAAATCTCTTCGAAGAGCTTAATTCATAAACAGTTATCAAATGTTTGCTCGCTCCCAACGATCAAATTTGTAATTACTTACAAATCCTAGCCCTGATATTCATTTCTCAATATTCACTTTTCATTATTACCCCAACAATAATCCACACCAAGGAAGACAGTTGAATTCATCACTGTGATCATCTACCCCCGAAGGGGATGAGAATGCATAAGCCGCCTCCTACGCTAAGGCTTTGTATCCAAATATGGAAGGACTAATGCCAGTTACGCTATTTGTTTTTTACTTTAAAAACATTTCTATTTAGATTTATTTGCCGGGAGGGAGAGGTGAAGTTCAGTAGCTGAGAGCCTGGTGTCATCCGCCCCTGCCATTGGTCGATTCCCTCACACCGTGGCCCTCTCATCTCATTCCTTCTCCGCTCACGCGCGCGCGAATTTTTTCACGCCCGCACGCATGCCAGCGCCCTCGTCCCTCACGCAGCGTAGCAGGAACCCGAGACCTTGAGGGACCAAGCGCCATGTCAAAATCCACTCTCTCTCTCACACACACACACACACACACACAGAGAGAGAGAGAGAGAGAGAGAGAGAGAGAGAGAGAGAGACGTCAACTAAAAAATTCCTCAATTTTGAAATATGAAATTAATTTCATTTTGGAAAATTCAAATTATACTAGTAATTATCTTCCTGGAACATTGTCGGGAGACTTTAAAAACAGAACCGCTAAATGTCAAAAAGTAGCCTAATATCTGAAAATGTAGAATATTCTTTTAATTTTTCAATACATACAAGATATCATTTTCAGTTCATGGGCAAAATTCTCTCAAATTTTCAAAATAACACAAAATATGACGCTTTATATGTGTCTAGTTTTTGACATTTTCTCAAATTTATATTCGCTTCGTAATAAAAATGTTTTCTCTTACAGCAATGAAAATTCATATCAGCCAACAAACAAAAGATTCATTGGACCTTTTAGGTGGATATATAATGGAACATAGAGGCCAAATGGAAGTAAAGGTTAGAAATAATTTATGAATGCCATTTCTTATTCCTGTTTTTAAGAATGCTTTAACATTATGTTTTTGTTTTGTTTTCAGGGCAAAGGATTAATGGACACTTACTGGTTACTTGGAAAAGAAAATGATATCACATTTTCTGTCGAAGATGATATAGCAAAATTCATCCAAGATACAACACCTGAATACATTCATATGATTGGCAACAGCTCTCCATGAGTGTGATTTAGGACTGATACCTTGGCTATTTTAATGTTTTGAATTTCGTGGTACACAAAATAGTAGTAACAAGAAAGAGGTGAAAATAAAATAACTCAGATGTTGAAGGAAATGTTTTACTGTAACACATAATTACTTTTTGTAACGTTATATTGATATTTCGTTTTGTGAATGAAAACAAAAATAAATAAACAAAATTGGAGAATATAACTACAACCCTTCTTCAAACTTTTTTTTACCTGCAGATGCCAATAAGTCGTTAGCAAACCCTCAGGAAATTGTGAGATTCGTAAAGAAAGATGTGCGAAAATAATATAACAAAGCAATAATTATAAATCCTTAACACTCTGTACGATGTACGAGGTACTTATTAAAATGTCGATGGTTTGAAAACATCAACCTTGATGACGTATCCCTTTGCGAAGTGGAGTTCAAGTGCACGGCTACAAGAAGCGGCTGCGCGACTTCAGGAGCGGGGTGGGAGCTGTTTGAAGGATGAAGCGAGACGTCGCTTTCCTACTATTGAAAATACCTGTCGGGATAGATTGTCACATGTGACAATCATCCCCACATTTTATGGGACAACTAAACCCGCACAGTTCTTTCGAAGAAGAGATGAGCTGGTAACACGAACATTGCACTTAATCTCAATCCTACTAAATAATATCGTTCAAATGTTATACAATAATAGTAAATAGTTGGAATCTAGATTTTCTTGAATAGAGAGTGAATAATCAACGTTAATTGTACCAATAAATGAATACTTACGACAGCAAAAACACAAAAACAACAATAACATCTTGAAAACTATTACCAGAAACTCGAAATTGCGTACACTACATCGAAATGTTGTGATTGTACAGTGGTTTGGGTTTAAATCAGTAAGCAGCTATAGCATCAGACAACGGAAACTTGTGACAACCAACCCGTGTGACAACTTGACCCGGTCTCCCCTAAAAAAAGGCCAAAATCTCACGCGTTCTTTCCTTCTTCACCCTTAGCCCCTCCCTTACACATAAGCACTTACACTTACTTGGTACACTGTACTACCACATACTGTCGCTTTTTCGGAATACTGTTGTCACACAACAACTTGTTTTATTGAAGAGAGCGCAATTTACTTTTCCCACAACGTAATTAGCTTCCCTTCATCAATGATAAGTAATATTGCCTTACAAGTAAAATGAAGAAAGAGTTTAATTTTCTTGTTTTTTAACTTATTAATATGGATCTTCTAAAACTGAATTATTGGCCAACATTATTTCACAAAAATAAATTATCACCGTTGATGAAATAGCGATGCATCTGCCTCAAATGGCAATTGATATAATTTCATAGATGAAAAATCGTTCCATGTAAATAAATTGTTATTTATTAACCAAGAGCGTTATATAGGTTCTAGTGATCGCGCGGCGACAAAATGCCTGAGGGCCTTGGGTCCGAGTCACCCGAAATCATTAGGACAAGTTAACGCCCGTGGGATAATATTATTTTTAATCTAATTCAATTGATTCGTTTTACTTATTTAGTAATCATTAGATGTTAACTTGACTCGGTTTGTCTTTACATTTTTCTTCCCTTCCATTATTCCATTTCATAATTCCCTCCATAAGGGAACATAGAACATCATTTAACTGTTTCCATACTTCCCTCGTAACCACGATCCTTTCGATCCAGGTTAGTTGTACAGTGTGTAAAGAGTAATATCCGTATCGAAGGAAATAACAAGCAGTAATGTATGAGTAAAAAATAAAGGTTATTTTTGAACCGGTTCACCTTAAAATCTCAATTTTTGCGATTTATGAGATACAATAGCGTTCCGCAAAAGAGACGATTTGTCGGGTGACCAGACGAGAGCTTAGAGCTCTTCCCGACGTGAGTGATGCCGCACCACGAGAGATATCTGGAAGGGGAAAACGCATGTGAACGTGTAGGTAGGCGCTGAATCTGTTGTTCTAATGGGGAAGAACACCGCCAATAACAAGCACTACACTCACGGGACTAATGACCAAAGCAGTTGAGGTGCTTGGAAGCAAGAAATACTCAAAACCTAACGTCTGGGATGGCAGGGGCGGTTCCACGCTGGTGGGAGATATCTGGTTCGGAAAAATCCTCCCAGGCCGATGTGTAAGGTCAGCGCCCGGTCTCACCAGACAACGTGGGAATATCACCGCCACCTCCCGCGATAAAAACATGCACAACATTTACGGAACGCATGACATTAGCAGTTCACGCGCCCGGAATCAATCCATCTATCCGGGTTTAAGTCTGCCTTGGTCCCAAACGGAGCAGACATAACTCTAGTAATTCTAACATCTCTTTAACCGGGAGAGGTAGCTCAGGGCATCTACTGATGTCACTGCAGTGTCTCTGACCGGGAGGTCCTAGGTGCTGGTCTCGACGGTGGCAGGATTCCGACACTAGCTAGATAGCTAGGTCGAGATCAGTCGCTGTCTGGAGGGGAATTTTAGAGGCCGGCTGCTCTGTGCGGTTGTTTTCTCCTATCAACACCAGGCAAATGCCGGAGCAGTACCCTAACAAACGGGCCACGAACCGCACGCGATCGTTCCTTTCAATCTTTGTCCTACCCTCACTCCTTACTTACATACACACGTGCACTAAACTACCACACATGCTGGGAGACCGGTCGGGAGCTTAGAGCTTGACCGGACTGGGGCGCTGACCTGCTAGTCGACAGTATGTCGGCGCCGGATCTCACCACCCAGTGAGGGAAGACCACTGCCACCGCCCGAGAAGAAAACATGCACTACACTTAGGAAACTAATTACCTTAGCAGTTGATGCGCCCGGAATCGCTAATCAATCAAACAAAAGACTATTTTTGAGCTTACAAAGTGATGTACCCAGGAAAACAGAGTTTGCACTAGGCAAAATCAATTCTTGAGCAAAAAAAATAATTTGTTATTTTCGGAGATTTCAGCATCTTTGAAAATACAGTGAGAAATAACAGCTTAAGAATCTTATTCACTCATTTAGACATCACTGTAAATGTGTAGAGCAGATTTACTCGGTTCTTTTTGACGAACGATTCTGGAGTTCCGGGAGCGCGTATATGCAGTGTGATTTCTGATCCCTCGAATCGACAATGCGCGTGCGCGAATTCACTAAATCGTTCGTCAGAAGGAAACGTGTAAATTGGGTAAAGGATTACACCCGGAACACAGAGGGTAATATCTCCCAAGATTAAATTAATGTTTCTGATCAAATCCACTGAATAACATTTCACAGACGTGGTGGCCGCCTACTGCCCAAGCCCTCGTCTTCCGCGACTCACTCGCTTGACCCAACTACTTCTTCGCGGATTTGTATTTAGTTCATAGGTGGCCTGGCCAAGATAATGCTCCTCTATGGGAAAACCTTCAGAGCAATATATAGCATTGTATTTAATTATTGTAAGGATATAAGTTTTCAGCCGGCCTCTCACTCAGTTTTGTGGAGAGAGGTTTTGTGGAGAGTTGGGTGTGGTGCGTGACATCTCTTGGTGTTAAGTGTCCTCACGACAACGCTCCTGTGGTTACTTCTCCGATTGCAAAGAAAGTTGTGAAGGACTATGCCTTTAAGGAGTTGGACCAATCACACTACAGTCCAGATTAGGCACCCTGCGACGTCTACCACTCATCAAAACTGAAGGAAAACTTTCGGGAAGAAGAGTTTCAGACGGTTTTACTGCTGGAATAACAGGCAGTGCATTTTTAGTCCACAGAGATTTCAGTCTCAGGTTCAGTCCACAAATGCTGTCGCGTTTATTCCTCGCGGATTCAGTTACATCGAACAGATATTTTGGCGATTTGGTAGAACGAAATTTGCGGGCACTTTTAGGCTTACCCTTGGACTGATAGGCCCTGATCCAGTTGAACTCACCAGACGTTTCGTCTGCAACTGCGACAGAATGAGCGGAGATGAAGCAAGGGGCTTAGACTCCTCCTGGCGGGCTCCTGGATGGCTAATGACTTTATTACTTTATGTTACGTAAGATTTCGGCCTCACTAACTTCTATTTTTGATACCAAGGAAAAAGTTACGTAAAAAAAGTACGTTTCAACTTAATCTCCATTTACTCCAACCCACTTTTCACATTATGACACGCCCACTGCTATCCCTACTATTATTACTCGACTTTATTCAATTTATTAGAGTGGCTAGCTCTAATTTTAAGACAAGTTTTGGGCCGCTTACGTACTTCCACTATCTCAGAGTACCTCCGTTTTCTTTTCGTGGGCTAAAAATCGTCGCTCTAACGAGTGTCAAGAGGTGAAGGTTTGAATTTGTTAGGAAATGTTTTATTACTTATTATTTTTACTAATTCTAATAAAAAATCAAATACTTGGTAATTTGTTTAAAAATTGTGAGCGACATGAAGTGTCGACTGCAAAATTAATTTTATATTGATATTTATTTTCGTTTCTGATGTTTGACAAAAAATATCTCTATGCTTTCTTTCATTCTACGAAAGCGAAGGCTCCCGCGGCCGGCGTCAGCAGCTGCTTAGCTGTCCGGAGACGCCGCATCCTAGGCAGAGAGGAGAGATGCAATATAGACTATCTCTACTCTATGATCCTCGGACCAGATCCCAGCAACGTTTCGACCGCCATTCTGCGACCTTCAATTCGCCCTGAGGAAGGTCGTACAATAGCGGTTGAAACGTCGGCACATGTGCCTAGGACGCGGCGTCCCCCGGACAGCCAAGTTGCTATCCTTTCATTAATCTCTTTTTAATAAAACGGTTTGAAATAAAATTAAACGCATGTGTAGTTTATGAAACTAATCCAGAAAGTACGTTTGGGATAGTACTACTAACACAATATTTGCAAACGAGGCGGGTCCGGAATTGTGAAATGAGTACGCCAAAGACACTTCATTACGAGTTGCGTGCGTTGTCTAATATACTTACAAATATAGTCTTGGGAAACTTCACGCCGGTAAGTGAGAAAATTGTCATGTTTATTTAGGTTACTTCGGTATTTTATTTACTCTGTTGAACCCAACGTTTAATTTTCTTTGCGCTTCGAGTTCATTCAAGAACGAGGGGCATTCAATAACTAAAAAGATAAATTGGTCTTGAAAAAAACTTGATCTGAAAGAACTGGAGTCCCAGAATGTTTGAAAGGCGTATTTTTATTTTGGGAGGACTTTAGATGAAGCCGCAAAATTTTCAACATCTCAAAAATCGCACAAAATTTTTTGATAGAAATTTTTATATAGAAGGCTTAAAAAATGGTGCAGGTCTCATTTTTGTTCAACTTTCTGAATTTTCAAAAATTGCAAATATTAGAAATAATGCGAGAAAGTATGTGTAGCACTACTTTGAGTAGCAAAAAGAAATTATCTTGCCACCTTAATTCTTATCTATCTATAATTGTCAATTTAATTTTCTTCTAAGGTATTAGCTTCATGCTGTCATCAGACATGTATCTACTATGATCTTCATATTAAAATCTATACATCAAAAGTGCCTAGTCTATCACATTATAGTGTAGGAATTATGATGGGAATATTTCTATTTGTCTAAAAAATAATAAGCAAAAAAAATGCAGGTTTCTGTAGATTACATTACTATGTTAAATTTACTTCATAAAAATTCTTAATCAGTGGGAAAGTAATAGACTACTTTCTTCTACAAATTTAGAATTTGCATTGTTTTAGAACTTTGGTAGAGATAAAATTTACTAAGGTATACACCCTAATTCATCTTCACAGAAAGCTAGAATATATTTATTAAAAAATAATAAAATTATCTCATAAGATAATAGCAGAGAAATTATTTTCATTAGTTAATTAATAAAATATCTTAATTCCTAAAACAGATTGCTGATTAAAGAGGTCAAATGAAGAAAACAAAGGATAATTGTAGCAATTATGATAATGTGCCAAAGTTCGGTACATTTTGCTAATTAAATTAATAAAATATTAAATATGAAACAAAGTGCTGGATACCTTGTTGTGGAAGTGGCAAGAATAGGTGTACAAAAGAAATTTCGTAGACCAGGTTAGCAAATGTTCCTGTCCTGACAATGGCAGATTTTGCCATCGGTGATGTTTCTGGTTTGGACAATACAAAATACTTGGGTGAAGGCACCTGCTCTGATTGGTTGCTTCCCTTACTTTCTCTAATGAATTCCTGGCAGATTCTGGAGCAGTTCGTTACAGAATAAGCCACAGACTACATGCAATCCTACGTTGCCCATCCTATCCTTGTAGGATAGAAGCCTGAGTCTAAGGCTCAGGCAATGAGCTTATCTTCAATCCTGATAATGATCCTCAATGATCTAAAAAGGTTCAGGTATGTGTTAGAGATATGGGATGGGTACATGAATGACAGGAGTAAGGACAAGAGAGGTGGTAAATATGCAATGCTTGGATACTAATTGCTTTCTGGAATTTTTATATTGCTTCAAAATTATTAATTCCTGAGTTAGTCTAGTACTGTAGCTAAATAAAATAATAGAAGAAAAGGCTGAAGATATTTTATGCATGAAACTTCCTTAATTTATGAACAATTATTTTTAAATTCAAGTTACAATTGAAACATTGATTAATTTCTGAATATATTTAAAAAAACATCTTAACAAAAATTCTACATAAAATTATTGACAAATAAACCAGAATGAATAAATAAATTAATAATTACAGAAATTACAAAAAACATTGCATTTTAATATTTTCAAAACTGTACCATTTTCACATACTCTTAAGTTCTTACATAATCCTTCAATCACATTTAAAAATTGTGAATTGTCTCTAATAATTTAGATCAAAGGCTTTTTTACATGAAATCATACTGCGTTCTGATATTATGTTAAGTAGTACCAGTATAAATAATTAATAAATCTGTATAAAAGCAAATACCTTATCTTGCGTATTTGCTTTATTAACATCCTGAACCTGCAAAACTAAAAATTCCTTCCATACAATACTAATTTTTAAACATACTACTCATTTATTTTAGAAATGCAATATGTATCTCTCTGTATTCAATTCCCTTCCAATGTACAAATTTCAATACCATTTTTCCGGTTTGGATACACCAATTAATTTCCAGAAATAAAAACGAAGAGACTCTTATTTCTGATCCAGCTTCATTTTTTGACGATGTCTTTTTAAACATTCCATGGTGCAGAAACGGTGAATATCATATTCAAATGGCACTTTACCAGTAATATCAACTGCACACTCAAAACATCGTGTCACAACTTTTATATTACTTCGCCCTTGTGCATTGCTTTCAAGAATTCTTCGCTCTGCAGCTAATGCTCTCTGCAAATAAACAAGGTTTTTTAGGGTACATAATAATCATTGGTACAACTAGTGCCCCCATGCAAGGAGAAAAAACACCAAATGAAAATGGGAAAATGCTACTTAACTTCTGCCTACTCAAAAACCTAAGAATAAATAATTGTTTTTTTCAACTGTAAGGAAAAATACTCATTTTCTTGCGAAGCAAGAGACACAACATACACTGTGTAATAGTCAGCAGAAACTTATTTAACTTTGTCAAGAACACTAAAGTATTTAGAGAATATGACAGAAACCACCTCGAGCACTTGGGGTGGGGGGGCATCTGGGTCAACATGCGCCTGGCACCAATTCAATTGGGCCCTGAAAATTGTTCTTCATTCAAAAAAAAAAATAAAAAGCAAACAATACATATATTTACTTTTAATTCAAATGAACCATTATAAATAATTTCTGTTACACATAGAATAGAATTCTTTGTATGCTTTTGGGGGAGAGGAAACTTTTGTTTGAAATACGGCATCCCCAAGGATCTACTGCCCCAGACTAGTGGCATAGCTTGGGCATCAGTCACCCAGGGCAGAGGAAAATTTCACTGTTCCCTTATTTAGATATTTCACTTGAAAAGACTAAAATATACAGTAATTCTAAAGAACTTTTTGGCAAGAACAATCATCATTTTTATGTTCAGTACAGGTTACACATAAAAAAGTCATGTATGTATATTCTACAATATAATAATCACTCTACATTCATTTAAAGCAACTGTCATAGAATTAGTAATTAAAGATTCCATGCTCATTTCAGTCAGTCTGAATCGTAAGTGTGGCAAAAACATGAAATGAAATGGTTCAAATTTTTACAAAACATTATTATTATTGTTTCCTATGAAATTGCGCTGCCTCCTAAAAGTGCCGCCCATGGCAGACTGTCCCTGCCACCCCCACTACGCTACGCCACTGCCCCAGCCCCCTTGTTTTCTCTGTCCACCCCTGCAGACCACTATTTGTTACAGAGTAAAATTAAGTTCACCATACACAAAAATTAAGTAAAACAAAAAAACACCACATAAACTCATATTCCTCCTCGAAGATGAAAGTATCAGAAAACTATATGAAAGAAGATTGAAAGAAAAACTGCAGAAGGTAGAAAAACAAAATATTGAGACACTTTGGAGTTCACTTAAACAAGCAATAATGAAATGAGGAAAAGAGAATAAAGGCAATTAGCATTGTATGTAATTTGTAATGTAAATTAAACAGCACCAATAACTTAAGTCCACTATAACCAAGGGTTCACTAGATCAGAGTTCACTATAACTGGTGTTGACTATTCACAAAAAGTTATAAGGAGGATCTGCAACAATTATGGGATCACATTTCTGTCAACATCATCTCTACTGAATGCAAACATGCTGAGGAACACGCTCAATACAAAATGTGAGAATTTCATGGAAGAAGAACACTGCGGGATTCAAAAGAGACAAAACACTAAAAATGCCACACTTACGTTACAGATAATAATGGACAAAAGAAGAGAAAGAAGCTTCTATAATGTATATTGATTATGAAATGGCACATCACATATAATATTTATTGATTATGAAATGGCATACAAAAGCAGAAACTCTGGGTAATAGTTGAAGAGAATAAAATCCCAAATCAGTCACTCAAAGCAATTCAAAGTTTATTCAAGAAATTAAGAATTAAAAGACTTAAGAAAGAGAAGAAAGTTTGAAGCAATAACAACCAGCAGCAGCAGTCAAGGATATAACAACCACTTAGTGAGAAACTCGAGAAGGAAAGTTAACCATAGAACAATAGATTATACAGATATATTCAAACCTGTATGTTGTCAACCAAACTATTATAATGGATCCTGAACACGAATTACAAAAAACAGTTATGAACTGATAAAATTGGCCTAAGAATACTCCATGAAGATAGCTGAGAAAACAAAAGTTATTACAATACAAGGAGAAGAACAAAGGATAGCCAAAATTGTAATAATTGTTACACTAGTAGAAAAAAATAACATAATTGTGTACAACCAAACTTGAAAGGATAGAAAAAAACTAAATAAACATATAAAATGCAGAATAATTAAGAAATATTTTGGAAGAGTCATTGACCCACCAACGAAACTGAAACAATTAAGCAGCTAAACCTAGAATTATATACGGAAAAGTAAAAATGATCTGGAAGTACAAACTGAACAGTACAGAGATATAGGAAGACCTCAAAAGAAATGACAACACAGTAACACTTGCAAGACCAACAGCTAACGAGAATTCAGCAATAAACCAATAGAAACAGGTTGTAAAGTCTAATTTCTGGTTAGTTCAATGTTATGAATAATCATTTAATATAGTAATAACTGTTAGTAAGTTAAGTACATTTTTACAAGTTTGATACTATGTTACAAAATAAATAATAATGCAGCATTCTTAATATTTAATAACATTCATAATAATTTAATTATAAAGTAAGATGCTTTTATCATGGAATTTTTGAATACGAAAAGTATGTTTGAATAAAACAGAACATCCATACAAGGATTTTCAAACAGGAATACTCTATTCAAGAAAATACATTGATAACTCCTGTTTCTATTAAAAATATACAAATGTAAGTAATCAGAATATAAATGTAATACTAATTAAATACCTTTTCTCGATCACTAAGTTTCAAAAATCTGTCTTTTTCAGTTTCTTCCTTCTTCCTTTCCCTCTCTTTTGCTCGTTTTGCTTTTCTAAGTTCCTTTTGTTTTTCAGCCAATTCTCGTTCCATTTCATCTGTCAAAGGTCCAGGAATCTGTGACTGTAAATTTAAAATCAAAAGACCATAAATACCTTCATTTGAATAATTATGGCAATATATTCTTTTTAATTCAAAAAGGAAATTAAAAAAGAATATTATCCATCAATAAGTTAAAAGACAATGACAGATTCACAACACAAAAAAAAAGAAGATAATTTTGAGTTTTGGCTATGTTTTCATTGACACTTCACTTTTATAATTTATTAAAACCATATTTTAAAATAATTTTTGTGTCAGAATTTAGTTAGTGTAAAATTCAAATATGTTAATAATTCCTTTATCTTGTTTCCATCAAAGTTACCAACTTGTAACAGTCATTAATATTCCATTAACAGTTCAACTATTCCTCAACTATAATCCTCAATTTTCAATGAAAAGTTCAACAATACAACACACAAGATATGTTTCATTTATCATGTGAATGATTTGACAAAATTTCTACAAAAAATGAAAACCACTTTGGATATATGCTTATTTTCTGCACTTGTAATGTCAGTCTTCACAGTTAATTATAAGAAAAAGGATGGTAATTAATATTAAAGAAAGTGCAACAGTCATTGAAGGAATAGAAAGTTATGTTAATAGTTGTTTAATATTACTTTTTACTGACAAATCAAAATAGTATTTTTCCCCTTTTCAGAGAGTTAATTTTGCTTGTTTGCAGCTACATCACATGGTTACAAACACTAAAGCCCAGAACTAGAAAATTCATTCAATAATTACCACAAAATATTGTTTCTTTTTCATTTTATGTTAAGATACTCTTCAATATGAAAATCTTCTAAAAAATTCCATCCAAAAATATGTAATGTAAGGTTACTTTAGAAAAGAGAGAAGAAATATTGTTTCAGAAGGCCATGTTTTTCCTTGAACAAATTGAAGTGCAGAAAAATAAATGAAAGCTTAAAACTGAGATATTATTCTCTTAAAAGTAAACATAGTGTACACACCCCACCACTACAATAGTTGACTAGTTAACTAAATGTTCACATTGAGACTGAAATACTACAACTCCAAACCATCAGTCCTTACCTTTCTATAATCATATTTATCAGGAAATTCTCCCATAAATTTTCTAAAAGCATTTCTTGTCTCTCTGTCTACAGACACTGCAAATGGAGCCTGAGACTTTTTATTCTTCAAACTGGGATCACAACCAGCTTCTAGCAAACTCCTAGAACATAAATATTCATGAAACATTAATTTGTACTCATGACTCCATTAGGGAACGCGAAGTATTTTTATTTTGGACATGATAACAATCTATCAAATAAAAAGCAGTACATCATTTGTATGTTTATTTCAAGAGAATCAATTTTAAAAAACATTTATTCATAGAATTATATATATTACAAATGAAGGAAGTCATGTAAGTCTTTACCTCACTTTGTTTTCCTGCATACAGTACTGGTTAGCTTCAAAGGTGCAATGATACTTATCTCATACACATATTTATGATAAAAATTAGATAATATTAGGGGAAGGTATTTTTTAAAATTTGTTCCAATAGTTTTTATTTGACACAAGGCATTTGAATCCTCAAATCTTTAAAATACTGAAAAGATTTAAGAACCGAAAGTTCGAATATTTACAGGATTTTGTTTGTTTTTTTATTCCTAATTGAACCTCCAACTCCTACATTTTACTCTAAGTTATCATGTATGTTACATTTCCCTTATTCAAAAATTGAACATAAAAAAATGTTCCTTACAATTAAATATAGGTTAAAGAATTTATTATCTGATATAGCTGTATTGAAATCTTTCCTGAAATTCTTAGTAGTTTCACAATTACTATAAAGTGTTGATTGTGATATGATTTTTAACTATTTATTTATATTCTCTATGTATTAAACATTTCTAGTGAATGAGGGTTAATATCAATTTCATACGTCACACTAGTGGGGTTGAAGTTACCTGTGACAATTGTGATGAAGGGGTCAAAAAGGCCCCAAAAAGCATGACATAGTTTATGGACGACCCCTTGAATACGAGGATTCAATCCACATAGTTATTATTCAGAAAGGGTTTCAAATGAAAACAAAAAAAATCCCAAGGTAATATGACCCTACATATTTAGTACAAATAAAACCATTTTTTAAGCTATTGGGTAAAAACATAATGCTAAATTCTGTAAACCATTATTCTCTAAAGACCACACATCAATAAAGAAACATGCAATTGATTAGAAAAGTAACTAAGAAAGTATTGAGCTATAATGATTATGTTCATGCTGAGTTCTTCAATCAAATTCAACAATATTTTTCAGTAACTCTCCTAATAAGCTAAGAGTATCTCCAAATGCAACATGCCTTAACATTCCAGTATTTCCATTTTCAGCGGCTATATGCAAAAGAGTGCTGCCATTGTCAGTAACATGTTCATTAAGACAACCAAGAAGTTCATCGTAAGTAACAATGTTGCTATTATTTGTCTTTTTATCTTCACTAGAAATTTCAGAAGTGTCATTACGCTCTATTTTAAGACACTCTTGCAAAAGCGTTGTGTTGCCAAGTTTGCATGCTGCCAACAGTTTTTGGCGAAGAATTCTCACTGCTTCACTACATTTCTCTGCATGAAAAAATTGAAAATAAAAATACAAAGAATGTAATTAACTTACAGTGATTCAGAAATACATAATGAAATAATATTTCCTCATCTTTCAATTAATTTTCAACTTTATTCAAACATGTTTTTATCCTGACATAAATAAATAACTATAATAAAAACCTCTTAGTACACAATATGAGTTTTTTATATACAATTTAATTTCAATATTCATCCACACGAAGCATAAAAAGTGAAATTTAAAACTTCCTTGTAAGATGATAAATTGATAATAAAAGAGACTAATTCACACTTACCTACTTTCTTGCTGTCTTTACTATCTGATTTCTTCTTCTTTACTTGTTTACTCTGTTTCTTTGTTTTTTTGTCTTTCACCCATTGTGGAACAGTATCCTCAAACTCCTGAAGGTCATGTTGCATAGAGATTTCCTCATCTTGTCCACTCCACCTGATTTCCCCATCATCCATATCACTCACTTCCGGTGAGCTTTGTGCTAAAATTTCTGTTACAATTTCTGGCAGGGGACGATGTGGGGAAGGGCGTGACTTTGCACGGTTAATTGGCTTTTTTTGAGAAGGAGAACGAGAAAGCCGGCCTTCCCTTTCTTCCTTGGTTTCCGCTGTAACCCCCTCCTCCTTTGCCACCACAGTTTCTACATTGTCACTTTGTTGTGTTGCATCATCTTTTCGATCTACCAATGTTTTAGATTTGATTTTCTTTGGTGACACAGGAAAGGATGACTGAAAATCCTTAGCATTGCCTACAAAATGAACATTTAAGTATGTTATTTGGTGAAAATAAAAATGACAAACTTTCAAAACAAAAATTTCCAAAATTTGGAAAAAAATGTACATTTTGTTCACATTCAGTGGCTGCTAAAGACTCGAGTTTTGAATACTGACATTCTTTTGAGGTTGTGAAGACAAAAGGTATTTTCAAGAATTAGAAAGACCAAACAGCAAGCAACAAGAAGAGAATCAAAGTTGTCTTTTCTCATAAGATTTTTTTCTAAATAGTGAACTTTAGTCATACTGCTGGTTTGTGGTAGAACTAATAGTTTGTGGATGTGAAAGAGATAAAAACAGGAAAAAGATATTCATTTATTGACCTTGAAGTAATTATTGATCAAAAGACTCAAGTTGAGGTCAATTAAACATAAGTTATCCAATTGCCATCATTGTGACTATGTATTTATCCTTCATCAGCACTGTAACAAGACACAATACACATTGAAATGTGTTTCATGGAACATGGATGAGTTTTTATAAGTCATTGAAGAGCATTTCAACATATACAGTAAACACAATGAATATTGTATCTTATTATAGTCCTGATGTAGCCTAAAAAATAAGCCAAAATGATTATTTTTGATCTGATTTATTTTCATACAAAAAATATTAAAACCTGAAAGTAACATAAAGGGGAAAAGTACAATCTGCAAAGTTTTCTTGAGCTCAAGAATCTCTTCCTCACCCTTTTACTATATATTTCACAGTCGAATGATGAATAAAAGAACCAACATAGTGAGGTTAGCAACACCTGAAAACCATGAATGCTTACTCCCAAGTTATCGGAAACTTATTTGTGCCTGTAAACAAACTACAGACTTAAATTTATAGTATTGCTAATAAAATAATTCGCAAAGATTTTTAAATATCCCACATGTTGATATTCACATAATGAGCATTTTTACACATTATTTTGAATTCAAATTATTTTGAGTAATGTTTCTCAAAACACAAAAGTTTCCTGTGAAAGTGAGCTTAAAACTGTGCTTTTTCACATGCACTCAAATAAGATTACCTCACTTTTTTTTAATGAAAAATTTGCAAATAGACCCAGGTTTTAAGCTTCTATTGTATTCTAAAGTCATATTTCAATTCTACCATTAGGGGACTGCAAAATTGGGAAAAAGTGCAAAAATGTTTTTTCAGCACTAATAGAAGGCAGCTGGGAAGAGGGTGGAGCAAAACCAAAAAGCTAGCTCAGACTAAAGAAATATGGGAACTAGCTATTTTGGCAAAACAAAATCTGCACCATTCTATATTGCTACTAGTTTCATTATTTCTGCGTGTGCTATTACTTTCCTTAAAATGTTTTTCATGGCAAACAGGTAATATATATAATGTATAGCAATAAAGAGTACATTTATTTTTAGTTATCGTTCAAATTCCTTACATTATCCAAGAATTGCTTCTCTGTGAAATATTTACTGTTCTCGTTTTAAGAGGAAAACACTTGTTTAAGTGAAATGAGAGCTTTGAAAAATAATTTATATTTGTTGTTTGTATTAACAGCATTATAAACTGCATCCCATGATTTCTGCAACAAGTAGTCTGTAAATAATTATATTTTACCTTAAGTAAATAATCTACACATGTATGTATTTATTATTTATATTACATCAATATATTACATCTCTTATTTATATTAATCCCCCCACTATGTCTTCTTTTCTATTTTATTTATACATTATTTTGTTTGTACTTGTAGACTGATGATGACGGCAAAGCCATCAAAAGACAGCTCACTAAATAAATATATTAAGTTGATGGAGATGACTTCCATTATTTCTAAATGCATTCTTGTATACAGCAAGGAATGATATTAACAATTATAATAATAAAAAGACATTTGCAGAGACAAATTATATTTTATGAAATCAAATTAATCAGATAACATACTTCATTAATAATTTTACATTTTATCACTATAATTAAATGGGCCTTGTGTTTCTTGTCAATAGAAAATAAAGACCAAGCAAGAGCAAGCTGCAAAATAATATATATCATATTGACTTGCCGTAAATTTCCAGTGATGAAATGGTGGCATGAACGCGTTGCACTTCCTTAAATGTTGCTCTGCGTGTAGAAAATGGTATAGTTCGCAGACGGGGGTCAGTTTTACTAAGAGGAGGGTTGCGCCCACCAAATAGTATATGACGATTGTGACCAACAGCACGACATAAAATCAAGCTACAAGCTTCAAGGTGACTAATCCATTCTGTTAAAATATCTTGTATATGCTGAAAAAAAAAAGTCATAAGAAGTTTAACAAATTTCTACAAAGGATAAAACAGACATGATATATCCATGTTCATGTAACAAATGTTCAAAAATGTTTTGTTTCTTGTTTGACTTTATTGAATTCTGTTTAATTGGGCAGCAATTACACAGAAAATAGTAGTTATACCCCTGAAACTTCACTTTTGTGGCCTTCACAATGAAATTTATATAAATGCCAATTTTTGCATTTGTTTCTATTTTTTTGGTACCAATATTTTAATAGTTGTTTCTAATCATCAAAAAGTCTTATTTGAATATAAATTACTGTCTGTTTCATAAGTCTTATACAAACAGAGATTTATTTTCAATTCTCTAGGTACCATCAGTTAGTGAGATGAGATTTTTCAGATAATGATTTGGCTGTTGATTCTGCTCAGGTATGGCTTTAAGAAGTTGCAAGTAACCAACAGATGCCTTCTGTTTTGTGAGAAATTTATTAAAACAAGAGTCAAAGAATTCCCCATTTCATCATTACTGAAGATGTGTGAAGAGTACAAGGCTTACTTCACGGTCTGTTGGAGACCAGGACAAATTCTGGGCCCCACATGTAACGTGTGCAACAGGTAAGAACACTCTGGAAGGATGGTATTGAGGGAAAAAGAGAGCTATGAAGTTAGTGTTCCCAGAATTTAGCAAGAACCCATGGACCATTCAAACATTCTTATCAGAACTGTTACTTCTACATGGTAGATCCTTCTAAACAATGGACTGGTAAGAAAGCATTAGCAGTCATTTATCCCAACATTGCTCAGTGCCACATGGGCCTGAACTTCCTAGTCCTAATCTTCCACAACGTGATGAAACTGGTGATGGCAGTAATAGTAATTCAGAAAGGGCGGAAGATTTTGAAGACCCTAATTACTTTCATGAAGGTAGAATCAATGAATGGAAACCATACTATTCCAACCAAAAGGCACTAATTAATTTGACCAGGGAACTTGGTCTTTCAAATTCCAATGCTGAGCTCTAAACATCCAGACTGAGGCAATGGAACTAGTTAGATGAAACTGTTAAAGTTCAAATCAGAGGAAGTGACATAACTTTTCCATATTTTTCATCAAAGAAGATGAACTTTGATACTGTCACAATATAATTGTTTTCTTTTTAGAACAATGGAATTATTCTACATTCTAGTGAGTGGCACTTCTTGAGAGACAGTTCATCAAAGAGTCTGAAAGCAGTAGTACTCCACAACGGTACCAGGTTCCATCTATTCCCCTTGCCCATTCAGCTTACAGAAGAATACCGCAATGTTAATAGATTGCTAAATGCATTGAAAAATGAAGAATATGGCTGGGAAGTTACTGGAGACTTCAAAATCAGTTCCTTCTTAATGGGCCTTTTAGGAATGTTTACTAAGTTTCTATGCTATCTTCATGAAATAGCAGAGACAATAAAGCACACTACCATAAATGAGATTGACCTAAATGAGTACTGAGTACACTGTGGGGAATCACAACATTAAAGGGGAGCCACTTGTAGACCATCAAAAGAAACTAATGCTACCTTTGCACATAAAAATGGCTTGAAGCAATTTGTGACAGCATTGGACAAAGAATCTGCAACATTCAAGAACCTACAACATCTCTTCCCAAAGCTTTCTGAAGCAAAAGTTTAAGCTGGTGTTTTCTTTGAACCTCAAATCAAGAGAGAGATTCTGTGTGAAGAGTTTCTCAAAACAAAGGAAAACGAGGCATGGATCATTTTTGATCAAGTAGTTGAAGACTCCGTTGGAAATTATAAAGCTGAGAACTGCGTTGAATTGGTTGAGACTTCGGTTAAAAAGTACAGCAAAATGAGCTACAGGATATCTCTTAAAATACATATCCTTGATGCCCACCTTGATAGCTTCAAAGTGAACATGAGTACCTAATACAATGAGCAAAGTGAGCGCTTTCATCAGGACATACAACATTTTGAGTGTCGCAAACAGGGAACTTCCAATGAATACGATGGGGGACTATATTTGGAGACTTATTCATGAAAGTAATATGACATATTCTCGAAAATTTCACAAAACTACATATTTCTTGAATCTTTGGTATCAATTTGTTTGAAATAAACTATTGATTTGAAATATAATAATCCCTTTTAGTCTTTAAACAAATATAAACCCCAAAAATTTGTATATTTTCTTAATGACAGTATGCACATTTCAACTGTTTTGTTTTCCTGATAACAAAAGCAAATTTTTTGTAGGGAAGGAAGGTTTTTCCATGTTTTTATAATAGAACTAATTACAAAATGATATTTTTTATTACCTAGAAACAAAAATTGTGTTAGATGGTAGACAAAGTACAGACTTCAATTTTTCTCCAAACAAAATATTTATAACAATAGCAAGCAGATTTAAAGATGAGCATCAATTTCATTTATAACAATTTTGTGAAAAAACAGTCTTAAGATAAATGCAAATTAGGAACTTGTTAAGTTGAGGTACATTCATGCAAATTTATAAAAAAACAAAAAGGTAAAATGCCTTTTTTTTATAAATCTACTTGAAAATTATAAAACTATATTTCATATTGGAAAATTGAGATAACACACAAAGGAATTACCTGGTTAAAAGAAGCTTCATTGTACCTCCGTAGGCTTGCTCCAGCACTCTTGGGGTGACTGCCACCAGATCGACCATCTCGGGAGCTCTGGGCTCCCCCCTGGCGAGCTCTAACAGTATATGAATGAAACGACTTATGCACAATAGCTTCTTTCCCTAAATTCATACTTCATGTTAACATCCTGGTTTGAAGTAAAATTGTTTTGAAATATAAAAAGGAAATACTTATTTTAACATTACCCTGAAATACAGCAGCAGCAAAGTGCCCTCCTCCTAACATTATAACTGCCCATGTAGGTTTCTCTATAGATTGCAGAGCAGACGTAACTAAATCATTATCATTGTCAGGACCCATCTGCAAAATAACAAATTTCAATCTGATCTGTGACTTATAAAATGGATGGCTCAATTATTAGTTAAATTATTTTCAAATTTTACTATATTTTTGTACATACTGATATCCATTTACAAAGAGCATCTTGAACTGATGAAGTCTGGAAATCGATGAATAATGAAGAGTCCATACCAACAGTAGGAGACAACCATAGGAAGACTAAAGGTTTCCCAAAAAGAAGACTATCACTGATCAGTTCCCAGCCATTTGTTCAAGATGTTCTCCATAAATGGACAGTACATTAACTAAATACTAAGTTAATGAGGCACACAGAGACGGATCCAGCTGAACATTCCGGGAGGTAATAGATTTTGTTAAATAATGAACATATTTGTTATTACATTGTGTGTAATTTTTGTAGAGTGTATATAATAATATACAATATTATTTTTTTAATAATTACTTAAATATCACATAAATGTTTAAATCAATTTTGCCAAATAACGGAAGGTCTCAAACAAAAGCTCCACGCCTTTTGGGGGGCCATGGCCCCCATGGCCCCTACCCCTGGATCTACCACTGCAGGCACATATATTCTTTATTAATTTAATTTTTTTTTTCCACAAAACGATAACATTATTAATAAATAATCACTTTTTTTATTTTGAACTGTTTTGCAAATTACTGATTTGTTTTGCAGAATTTTTACAAACATTAATTGGTAACTTAATTACTGCTTTAATTTGCTTACTTTTTTGTCATGGAGTACACATCGGTAAATTGAAAGAATCTTTCCCTCAACGTTCTCAAAGAAAACTTTGCAATGCCGTTCAATCTGTAATTTTTGAGAGGTAAGATTATTTTTAGTCTCTGTATTTTTGAGTGATACTTCTGAATTGTCTTCATTCTCGTCATTGTCTTCACTATCAGTCTCAGATCCGGATATGCTGGATACATCATCTTAAATGAACCAATTGATAATTACAAAATTTTCCAAGAAATTTAAAATGTAAAAATTGTAAAATAAAAGTTTCCCTCAATCACAGCCTATTTGCATTTTAATCTAAATAAACATACACCAAAAAACCATTCTATTACAACCTGCTAGATGTTGAAATTCTTCTTCAGTAACAAATGATCGTCCAATTAGGTTTTGTTTCAAATTATAACGGTGCCAATCAAGCTTATAGTGTAATCGTTGTTGGAACTTATCTTCAAAAGCAACATTGCAAAATGAGCAGAATAATTTGTCTGATACAAATAATTCTTCCATTCGTTTATTCACAGGATCCACTTCTTTACTTTCTGCAATGAGTAAAGCATGTCATTTTTATCTTGAAAATTACTCAAACAATTATAACTTAATTGGATTATTCATTTGCGGATCCAGAGACAAATTTTGGGAGGGGAAATTAAAAATGTTTTGGACAAATGGTCATATTACAGATTTTGTTAAAATGTTGGAGGTTACACGCAGCTATGCTGCGATACGATTTTATTTGTTTTATAATTATCTGAAAAAGTTTTTGCTTGAAAGTTTCGTAACAAGTTAAAATTAATAGTTACTGAAAAAATTTAGGGGGGAAATTTCCCTTGTTTCCTTCCCCATGGATCTGCACCTGAATTATTTGAAATATCTTACCTTCTTGTACATCATCTTCAGATTTCATACATTGTGCAATTTTCAAGCCTTTAGTTAAATTTACAAAATTATCTGCATCGAAAATACTGTATACTTGATGATCCATTTTACTTGAATAATTTTATTCCTATTCAAAAAAAAAAAAGGATATGTAGTTAATAAATAACTAAAATTCTGAACAATAAGTAATGATATATCACCATTAATAATATTATTGTAATATCGATTCTGAAATGTCATTAACAAACAGTAATCAAACGGACGGACGGACGGACGCACTGACAGGCGGCAGGCAGACAGACGGACGGACGTTTTATCATAAACATATTTTTCTTTAAAACTTACAAAACGTGGATTCTGATTACACGAAATGGAGGGAGCAATTTGGTACCCACAGGCAAAAGACGGTCCCCACTTTTTCAGCATTGGGGACCTAAGCTACGCGCGCATAGAGTCGGTACGGCACGGACGGAGGGGATGGAGCGGGCCCTTCGCGCAGTTTCGGAGCCAGTTTGGGCCCTCGTTCCGCGCCTTCTATATTGTGCGCCACGGCCAAAGGCTCCCACGGCCCGGCTCGCATCACCCGCAACGGTTGCGGCGACGACACTCGCGGGTCCGTCCACTCCGCGGCGTCAGTTGTGGGTCGGCCATTGGGGACCAGAGGGAGAATTTCGGGTCTTTCATTGGGGGGAGGGAATTTGGGTGGTAAGTATTTGTATAAACAATGAAAATTACAGTATCATAAAAAATTAATTTTTTGTTTGTTTCAATAATATTAATTTCAATAAAAATGTACGAAAAGCAGTATGCATGTATTACACAATTTACTTTTTAGTAAACCGTATTGCTCACAATATGTATTTGTTCCATAACCTCTAAATATAATATACATCATGCCCCGTTCTTGACTCGATAGTCCAATACGGGCCTTCTTCGACCAGCGGTGACCCAGCCTCTCGGCCATGGAATAATGGGTTCGTGTGGTTAGCGCGAAGACATCCCTCCACCGAATATACTGGTCTTCCTAACCTTAGAGTGGGCTTTCTCATCGGCAATAGATACTGGGACATTTATAAGAAAAGCGCACAGTTATAATTTTGCCCCGGCCGGGAATCCAACCCGGGGTTGCGCCGTGGAAAGATAATATATGAATATAAAATATATGTAGATAAAATATAATATATTGTAGCTGCTTGGATTATTATATATTTGAAATCTGAGTACCATGTATCATATGTGTATAATAAATGGGAAATACTCTTTCTTTTTGAAAGTTAATTCGAGTGTTATGAGATGATTTTAGGCATGAAGCTGATTAATTTCTGACTAAAAACGTTTAAAAGTAAAATGTCATTGGAAGATGATTTATTGATATGGGATATTCACAGTGGCGCTGATCATTATCTCACGCGTTTTATAATATTGAACTAAAGTTCACCAATTTATTAATGTATGGTATTAGCTCTGCTTAATAAAATAATTGCTAGCTTAGTTATTATTAAATTTCTTCTCAAAATACATAAACAAGTAAATCTAATATAATATAAATTTGAAGATCGGCGAAATGAAATGTCTATACTTTTTTTAAAGATGTGCTAACATGGGGAGGGGAGGGAGGTCCCCTTTTGCCCCCCCCCCCCTTAACCCTGAATCTCGCCACTGTTAGCGACTATGTATTCTTCCTTCGATGAATGCGCTTTCTTTCCTGTTCATGCAGAAGAAAGGAAGAGCCAAGGACATTTTCTCAGCACCTGCCGTATATGTCTCGCTTTTAATTCTTTCATCTACGATTTTCCAAAAAAATTGTTTATCTTTTCTTAGGAAAGGGGGAAAAGAGTCCGTGACATTAACCTAAAGACAAGAAAATATGGGAAAGTATTTCATACCTTGAAACCTTCCAAAGGGCGAGAATTACGAGTACTTTACAATGACTTTTGACGAAATTTTGAACCTCATCTCAGATGACATTACAAAATATAACTAGCGAGAAGCTATCTCTCCTGAAAAAAGATTTGCAATAGCACTAAGGTAAGAAAATAAAATATCCACATTTTTATGCGAATAAATAATTTCAACAATAATTTCTTAAACATTATTTATTAATAAAATGTACAAAATTATTAAAAAGAACAAAATATTTAAGCAAAGTTGAGGTTACAAAAACCAAATTTACTCTCAATTATATAACTGAACGAAATTAGAATAATTTTCTCAAGTTTGTTCAGTCCATGGTGGAAATATGTCCAATGAGGTGGGATGCACGTGCGAGCACGAAATGGTCGACATCTGTTGATTCAGTGCTGGGTTAGAATAGTTTGTAACTGGATTGTGTGTATTTTCATGAGTAGGAGTCGACCTTGTTCACGCTAGTTCCTTCAAATGCAAAAGTTCTTGTTCCATGATAAGTTGTGCAATTTTCATTTTGGTGATGGCTTGTCTACGTCTGGAAAATGTTTTAACCGTTTTTGCATGGGCCAAAAAAAGACACTCAGTTGCATCATATTCTGTCTTCTTTTTACTTTCAAAATATTGTAACAATTCTGACACAGAAGACATTTCTGAACGTCGTTTTCTATCGGGTTTTTGTTTCCCTGAAGCATCCATAGTTGGGGTGATTGTAGGAATTTCTGACACTGATAGTGAATCCGAGAAGTGAGTGTTCACTGTAATTTCCATATTATCAACTTCGACATTTTCTGAGTCCCCTGCTTCATCGCCAACTTCTTCGGATTGAGGGGCATTTTCCTCTGTTGATTGTGATATTACATTAATATTCTTTGATTCGATTTCTGAAACATTGGAAGCAGTTGTTGCAAACGGCAGGAAAGGGCGAAAGGCCTCCATCTTATTAGCCCACATCCATTTTTTGCCTCTCCTTCCAGTGTGTGTCGTTCTCATTGGAGGAGTTCTAATAAATTTGGCAAACGCGTCTCTGAGATTTTTCCACTTTTTTTTAGCCTCTTCACCTGAAACAAAAATATGTATTTATAGGTTTCTAGCCATCGTAGACAGTTTCAGCACAATGTCTACAGCTTTCGAATTGGGTTTTCAACAGAGTTCAAGTTCAATTCTGACAGAGGGTTGCCAAGCTACTTGCAAAAAATCGGGTGTATATCTACCTGAACCTATAACGGAAATTTGGAATCAATCTGCTAAAGGTTTTAAAAATTTGTGACGATTCCCTAACTGTATTGGCACAGTGGATGGTAAATATGTCAGAATCAAGTGTCCAGATAATAGTGAATTCCATTATTGGTACAATCTTAGCACCTTTTCAGAAGTAGTCAGAACCTATTATTGGACCACATTACAAATGTATGTGTTGACATACTAGCAGGTGGATTGGTAAGAACAGTGGTGGTGGTATGTCCGAAGCCACTAACAGGGAAAAAATATTTCAAGAAGGGTCAATTAATGTTCCTCGGCCGAAAAATCTGCCAGATGAAATTGACCCCTACTCTCATAAAACCGTCGTCGTAATTTTATAAGTTGCGGCACAGCAGTATATTTCATAAAATTTTCAATTAATTTTTTACCTCAAATAGTTCATTAGTCATTACTAGTAAGGTAGGACCCTTTGAAATGAATCAATTTACGCTAACATAATAGGTTCTACTGAAATTCATATTTATTACGTCATGTATTTAACAAGTGATTTTAATAAACACTAACGAAACACAATTTTTGAGGGGTTTATGCTCACTGTGGAAATTGTTTTATTCGATTACTAAATACTTTTACTTAAAACTATTATTTAAAATACAATTCCAAACACTTTTTCTAGTTTAAACATTTTATTTTTTTGCTATATGTTGAAATAAAATAATTCATATAGTTTCTTGATACAACTTTCACATTTTGAAAGGTGACGGGCTACATTTCAGCATTGCCCCAGGCCCAAAATTGTCTAGCTCTAACACTGCTCATGTTTTTGTAGATGAATATTTTGCATTAAAGAATTACTTAATGAGACCGTCTCCTCATAAACAATCTAGGGATGATGTTCGAAAAGAGAATTATGATGTAAGACTGTGCTGCAAGAAGGGACTTGGGAAAATGGTCCAAGACGCAGCAGCAGTGGTATTTTAAACGCGAGAACCGTTGGTTTATTATTTTAATTCTAGGGTGGATGTCGGTCTGAAGTGTATATAGACTGCTACATTTTTGCATTCTGCAATATCTAGAACGGAGTTCGAAAATATATTGTGAAATTGTAACTATTAGTATCGTGGTAATGTCTTTTGATCAGGGGGCAAGAAATTGTTTTCGGGTCTTTATTTATTAATATCAGTCTTTGGAAGTATGTACTATCTATAGCAGATGCATAAAACAGAAAATACTTACCAGTTTCGTTGATTTCCTTCCCAATTTCATCCCATATCTTATTCTTCTTCCACGAGTTTTTGTGGTCTTCGTGACTAAAGTCATATAAAATCGGGAATCTTTTCACAAGTTCTATCAGTATTTCAGCCTTTGACATGGAGCGCTCAGTTCTTGCGACCGCGAATTACGCTGCCACAGACCGGCGCGGAACATACACAGCCCACGCGGAATGGCCGCAGCAGAAGTTTCGCGTCGCGTATTGGCGTATTCAGCACGTTCAGGTGTGCGCGGCAGGCGAGCGTCGCGGCAGCGGTGTGGCAACGTGTGCGGCGCGAAACGCTCCGCGCTAGACGCGGCGACGAAATCCGCCGGTCTGTTCACACCGCAGCGTCAATCATGACTCAGCGTTGGTGACAGTTTTCCTCATCCGATAAACAAAGGCAAGGGAGTTCGACCCAGAGGGCAGCGAACACTCCCGAAGGCGGGCGGACTTACACGAAAGTCGTGCGGCAGCGGAAAAACTGCGTCCGGCTGCGTTACAAAATCCACCGCGGATTAAACGCTGACAAACCCGCTGCCGCGCAGATGTGAACGTGCACATAGGGCAACATGTGACGCAAAATTTCCACTGCGGCCATTCCGCGTAGGCTGCGGATCTTCCGCGTCGGTCTGTGGGTGCCTTTACACAGTACAAATGGTAAATAATACATTAAAAATCATTGCCAAATTAATGTTACTTAAAACACGATAGATGTTTAGCTAACCAACTAAATTACTTCCGAGTGTTATGTAATACATTAAATAAAACTTAATATCACGTTATACAACTCGGGATAGTTCTGAATCAACAGAATTGAATTGGACTCATTCACGTTTACTCCATAGAGTGATCTGAACTAATATAGTATACATAGTATGTATACTTATTACACAGACCACTGGCTCCTCACATTTCTCAGAACCCCACAACCGGAACGGCGAAAATGCCGCCCCGACCTGATGTGCCAATGACGTCATCGGTAAGACGGAACATGTCCAGATCTTTCCGTCGGACGTTTTGCAAAAAGGGGCGTAAGGTTTCCGTACCGACAGTAAATATATAAAAAACAGTATGCGCACCCTCGCGGAAAACTACACACTGAACTTTTTAAACCCTGGCTGTAGGTGCCGTCTACTGCGCGCTGGGCTTCATTAAATAGGATATTATTTTCATAAAATTCGATTAACTTTTTTTTCCCCCATCATTACAAAACTCCCTCAATACGATGTATTGCCACGCGAGAAAGTAAAAATTAATTTTGCAAATCTGTCCAATCTAGTTATCAATTTTTCAGTCGCGCTGCACTTCGGCACGGCAACGGAGGGTACAAAGAGAATAGCGTGTTCTCTAAACGAGTTTTGATCAATCTTTCAGTATCTTATTAGTGGGTCCAATCACGCGGTTTCCTGGCTGACAGTCGTTAGTGTTGACGTAACTGGTCACAATTGTTCCGCGCCTTCAGAAATCACGCGGTCATTTCTACTCCCGTTCCGCACATACGAGGGACATTGCACCTTTGCGTTCCATTTTCTTTCATCCCGGTGGAAATTAGTTTTTCAAGTTCCGCCTCCAAGAAAATTCCTCCCAACATCAAATTAACGTTGTCTATATGAAATTTGTTCTGAATTTTTCTATTGATCCCTGAAATTTTACGATTCCTCTAGCAGAAAGTGGTGATTTATGGGTCCTTTCTTCCATGAAACTTGTATTTAACTACAAAATTCTACTTATAATCACTTTTCACTAAATGCAAAATGAAAGCTGGATTAGTAGAAATAAATTCAAGGATTATTATGTTACTTACTTATAGTAGAATCTGTAGGAAAGAAAAATACAGTGAGAATCAGGACACAAATAAATAAAAATCTAATAAACTTTGTGTTATAATTTATTATTAAAATATTTATAATTTGGCCTTCATAATACACTCTTAGTAACTGCCAATTTCATCAATAAACAAAATCTCAAAAAACAAAATAAAATATATAAATGACTAAAAAACTGTTTTATGGTATTAGCCAAATAGACAATACCACTATAATATCCATTAAATGATGTAAAGAACAATAAACACAAACTAAATTAATTCTGCTTACAAAACTCATGAACTAAAAACATAAAATGAAAACACATTTTGTTATAATGTAATCTCAAGCTTATCAGCAGGTGCTAATAAGATCTAAGATAAGTTAATCTTTTGTACTGAAGACCCCCAAGCTATTTGTACACGTCATAAAAGGTTATTACAAAATACAATAAAAATATAAAAATGTACACAGCATTGAACATCAAGTCTTGTTCTGCAGGAAACAGTGCACTATAAAATGTGTGTTCATTCCACATTGAAACTCTCAAACCTTCAAAACTTTAGCTGTCATAGTAATTAGATCTATTAGTAAAAATCTATTACAAGTTTCCTATGTTTTATCTCTATTACACATCAATTATTTTCTATTGAAACAACATGGATCCTGAGAGCATTTGAAAATAAAAACATTGTTTAAATGAAATTAATCAAAACACAAATGCAATTTTTCATCGACCATGAAATTCATGTGCAAAATTTACCTAACATGAAATGTCAAGGCAAAAAGGTATTTCTAAAATATTTTGCAGAATAAAACTTATAATCCTAACAATAAACATACATTCAATTAGTATATGGAGGGTTCCTATGTCACAAAGTAATTACTTTATTTCCAGGTTCATTTCAGTCACTTGCAATGGTAACTTCATGTATACCTAAAGTCCAAGAGAATATTAAATAAGAATCATGCTTCTTTAACTACAAATAGCAAAAGCTTTGCAATAAAATTAGATGGAGTGAAATGAAAGTGGAAAACGAAAACAGTATTTTCAATAGCAAGGCACAAACATTAGCAAGACTCAAGGTTATCAATTAGTGTCATCATGTACTTTTATTCATCAACACTTAATATTACCAAATACCAGCAGTGACTATAATCTTCTTCTTTATACAATGGAACTTCAGCAAGGATGTAAACAAAAAGGAATGTTACAATATATTCCTATATGTTCAGTCATAAATAAATGACAGTCCATTGTACTTCCATATTTTATGATAAATGCATACACTGTAAAATTACTTAATAGTATATAAAACAAATTTTAATTAATGATATTAATCTGGGAGAGGTTGCTGTTTTTACAGAGAACACAAACTGCACAAGAAAGAAGTCCCCCCCCCCAAAAAAAATTGTATTGATATTTTCTCTAATGATTTAATACAATTTGACATAAGTGAGAGTTTCATCCTACTCATTATTCTAAGTTCACTTTTGATAAATTATATAAAATTGTTTTCCACTGTTGAATTCTGTAAGTAATATTAATATGTACTTATAAATACAAAGCACCATGCAAACTCATTTCACCCACATAAGACCAACATTTTAATTTGACAAAAACTACTGGCAAAAATATATCCAGACACAATTACTATACACAGAAAGAAAATAGTGCTAGGTAAAGGTATTGACAACTACACAAATTTACAAATTAACCAAAGATATATGCACTAAAAAAATAATATAGCCCAAGACTATACTCAATATACACAACCCCTCTCAGATTAGATCAATCAAGATCAACAATTCATCAAAACTATGTAATTGTATATTAGAACTCTGATAATATTACCCAAAGTGTTAAATTTGATTTGGGAAAATCTTTCTTAATTCAAGATCCAAACAAAATGTTGGACTTCAAATTTGTTCAGTGGTATCTAGCGTCTCATTTCAAACAAGTGAAAAAGCACCCTTTCAGCTTATTAACCACTCCATTTTCTTCTAATGACACTTTACACCAAAAGTTCTCTTTTCTCACTACCATTTTCACTCCTTAAGTACATCACCATTACACAAACACAAAACACTACAATATTGCACTACAAGCAGTCATCTTCAATTCTACAGAACTCATTTTTGGTCAATAACTCTCCATATACTTTGGAATATCTTTTTATAAATATCTCTCTCACTTGCAATAAACAAGTAGTTAAGTTTACAGTAAAAGACTGTAGAGCACATGACATTCTAAATATCTTTCAATATCACACACTTCGAAACCCACTTATTGTATTTTGTTGTTCTGTAAAGAGTAAATTCAATTTTTTTTTTTTTTTTTCATGTTGACATAACTCCCCATACTACCAGGGTAAAAAAGACAAAAATGCCAATATACAAGGCAAAGGTATATCCGTTAGATACCAGAAAAGATGGTTTCTTGCTCTGGACTCTGCAACACAAGCACAATCTATTAAAATAAATTCTCAGTAAAGCAACTTTCACTTCAGAAAACATTGCATTTTACTGACTTAGGCGAGAAAGGACTAGGTGGCTGAATACCAGGAATTCTGCTGTCCCAGTAAACAAAACGCCACGTGATGAAAGTGGTAGCAATTCCAACTACAGCAGGTATAAATAACCAGTTCAGGTCGACTATAATACTCCATACTGCTACGAATGCCGCTTGCAAAGGTGACAGAAAACTAAAATCGGTCAGCGAGAATGGTGTATTTAAAACTCTTTTACCATAACGGTAGATTTTACGAAAATTATCACCTGAAATCAAAACAATTACGAATAATCAAAAAGTCACAATCGAAGAAGATGATATACTAAACAACTTAGCGTCCTAAATACACATCTCTTCTAAGGTCGTACATCCAGTCAACCTTGTTCCCATTTACCTACCACTAACCTAACAAAATATTTTAATTAAGTCCGTATACTTACTGTTGGCATAGAGTAGTTTCAAGATCACAATTGATGTAGAAAAACACACTGTACAAATCAAAAATTTGTACTCATTAAAAGAACGAAAAAATCTTCCTTTTTCTTCTCTGATGGGTGATGAATCTCGCAACTTCTGACATCTTCCATTGCTGATTGAACTGTTAAATTTCGCTTCCGACCATTCGCTAGTAGATTTCGCAATATTCGTAATCGTTTCTCTTATCTTATACATTTTGCAGCTTTTGAGAATCCTCTGCAAACGACGCTACTTCACGCTACCTCCCGTGTCCAAATATAAATCAGACCCACATGGAGACAAGTCAATGCAATAACCAATACGCACGCGACGAAGGTCTCAGTCTTCCAACAAAAACATTGAACGTCATAAAATCCGCTAATATTTATAGTGTCAAGATCCTTGAAGACCCAAAACCTTCAAAGAAAATAATACTACTTCTTACCTTGCACCAACTTCGGGTAGACTTTTCACTGACGGGTATAGATGACGAAGATCACACAAGTTGCGCAAAGAAGCGCAACTGACGTTAGTTGTCGAAAGGGAAATTGCGTAATCCCCGGGAAAATTAAAACATTTCTAATTCCAGCAAATGACCCCCATATATTTTTGTCCCAAATTCTTACCTCAGGGAATGATTATAGATCTACAAGGAAGATAACAGAATCGTTTCTGAAATATCCAGGTACATTACTAGCATTGAACTTCAGGAAGAGTGTCATTTTCTTCTTGTTTTCTATTTGATTTATTGTAAAAA